TTAATTTGATACTAATATCGATATATTTTTGTCAAATTTTTATGATATCTTCAAATTTATATTTTATTCAAAAATAAAAACATTATCGTTTTTTCAGAATCACATAAGACCATTCTATAACATCGATTGGGATAAAGAATAAAATAAAATATTAAAATCAAGATTTATCTCGTTGCATTGCACGAGTATCTTTCTAGTTAATTATAAATGCAACAAATTACTTGCAACCTTCACATTTTTTTGACAAATCCCGTCTCAATACAATGTTTTCACCGAGTTTTTCCCGGTTACAATTTCTAACCCCTCAAGAGTAATGCAAATATATATATAAATTCCACCCATCGTATCCTACTTTTGAATGTCATATCCTTTTAGTTTGGTTTATGTTAGACTACCATCATCCAACTATTATAGCCTTACGACCGTTGTTACACACGAGAACTCAACCATTATACCCGAAACCGTCATTTAACTACTAAATACTCGAAATATAAAGATTAATGGTGAATACTATCACTAATTCAAAAGGTTTCACATCTTGGTTATTTAGAAAAAGACACTTATTTAACAGAAAAAAGTAACCCTAACTTAACAAAGTTAATGTTAGGAATCCAATCCATAACAAAACTCAAACCACAGGTACCCAATCCGTAAGAAAAAAAAAACTCGAGGGATCCAATATGTAATTTTCAGGTGACCAAAATAACCAAATCTGTAATTTATTATTTTATTTCTTTTGCGTGATTTAGTATTTGGCTTCATGAAACCAGTTGCTTGGAGAAGAAAGCAAGCTACGAAATTACTTGTACAAGTTCGTTACAAGGACAATATATTGTGGTTTAGTTTGAGTTGGAACTATTCACAACTTTATCTACTCATTTGCTGATGTTCCAAGGGCATATACCTGCAGCTGGCTGCCGTCCACGGCCACACCAAACGCACCAGAATCCGAATCATCGACCACCAAACACGACACCGTGGCTCCTGAGTTCCACAAACAATTATAACAACATAAAAACTCCATTTCTATCAAAATGTAGTATTTGGTACCCCACAAGTTACAAGAGATACCCAAGAGTGTTGGCTCATGGTATCCCCGTTTGCAATAGATTCCAACTTTCTTGGAGGTCAAGTGGGAAATTGACCAAAATAGCAACTCTCCCCATTTTAGCCATTTTTTCAATTAAATTCTCATTTTAGCCGGAGTTTATGCAAATGTATTAAGCATGGGAAAGGCCTATTTTCAGATTAAAAAAAGAAAAAGAAAATCTTTACGCAGACTTGCATAAATTGTGTAAGAATCCCATCTGCATAAGGAATCCCATTTGCATAAAGAATTTGCATAAGAATTCTTTTTTCTTCTTTTTTCAATCTGAAAAAAGGTTTTACTCGAATGTGTTCGGCTAAAATGAGAATTTGATGCTAAAAGTGGCTAAAAATTGAATTTGGTTGAAGGGATTGCGAGTTTATTAGGTGAGAAGTGAAAAGGAAAAATAAGCATACCTCTGCAACGACTCAGATAACCGAGCTTGGTACCTGTAGACAATTCCCAGATGTATAGAGAACCGTCGCATGTACCTACGATTCCATAACCAGCTGATGCACCAGCTACGGTGGCACTGCAACAAAACGGATTTAATTTCGTTACATACACAAAAAATAAAAATCTGCATCCAAGAAGCATGATGATCTAATCGATGACACGTTTCCTTCATCGGCATTCTTTTTATCTATTTTCTTGTGCCTCAGTTTTTAAGAAGCCCAAAAAAAGTCTACTTCAAGTTTTTGAAGATTTGCACCTTATACTTTCCATGTCCAATTTTGACATGATAATATTTATGATGCAAATTGATTGTTGTCGGTAGCTTTCTTATTGAATTGAGTAAAGAAAAGAAAGAATACAATGGTTACACAGCTTTCGAGAGGCTGGTTCT